GAAAGGAAACTCGTCAGGAAGACCTGGGGAGCAGCTGCCCTGGGAAGGACCCACTGCCACCAACTGGGAAGTTTTGCCTCAATAAAAACAATGACTATCATGGATTCAGGCCATTCAAATACTTTGGAATCCACAAGTATAGAGTTATGCAAATAAATCCTTAGTCACCTGTGGAATGTCATGTAAACCATTCTCTGGAGAACCGCCACATAAATAGGAAGAACAAAGCTCATGTTCTCTGATTAACTCAAGGTAAGGAAATAATTATTGGGGAGGATGTGTCTTTTTGGAAATATCCTAACAAATACATGAAAATGTATTTTACTTCTTTTCCACCCTGAGGTCATGTTTTCATTAGATATGGCTCAGGGACTCCCCAAAGCCTCTGACATGCTTGGGGGGCGGTCCACTGTGCAACACCAATCTTACAGCAACACCATCATGCTGTTTAATGTTTTCCTTCTATTCTCCTCCTGAGTGGGGGTTGTTCTTCAGAGTGTGGATGCTGCATCAGAGTGGATGCAGAAACAAGTATGAAAAGGTACCTGTTTTCAATTAGGGCAGACACTGAAGAGACCTGCAGAAATGCAAAAAATAAAAGGGGCCGGAAGTCCATCTTACTTATTAAGTACTTGGAAAACATTTGAAGTATAAAACTGATTTTTTATGTAACTTATGTAGTATTTTATATGTTCCAATATTTTAATAACTTAGTAATTGTTATTTCTAGGACATAAGCATTAGTTATTTATGTATTTTAACAATGCTTCCATACACCTATTTAATCTAAACATTTTTGGTGTTCTTGCTTTTATTGTTGTGAAATATATCTATTATCGTGTTTAGTACATTTCTCTTGTTATACCATTTTTTTTCTTTCTTTTTTGAAATAGGGTTTTCATTTGTAGTTCAGGCTGGTCTTGAATTCATTATGTAGCCCAGGCTGGGCTTGAACTCACAGCAATCTTCCTGCCTCAGACTCCCAAGTGCTGGGATTACAGGTGTGCTCCACCATGCCCAGCCTGTTATACCATTTTCAATAATTTTTTCAAGGGTGAAATATGCAAAAGTGTAATGCACGAAGACCATGAAACATTACGTGCTTCTTGGGAGACACACATAGTACAGTCAAATCTGTGTGTGATCAGATCACAAATGTATTTCAATATGCAGTAAATGAAGAGGACACCAGTAATGCTAATTTGTTATTTTGATTAGCAAAATTTACACTGCAAACAATTTTACAAGAAGAATGAAGCAATTTCTTTTTTTCATTTTAAAAATAAAAGGAGGAAAACATTAACAGACAGACAACCTTTTACAAAATAGCAAAAGAACAGTACAGACAATACAAAGTTACAAACAAAGTGGTAGGAAATTAACAATGCTTGTTGTTTTACATATTGATATCTTCAAAGTGGTTTCTTATGAAAACAAATAGAGACATGCAATATTGATCAATCAAGAACTCATTAACAGTTTCTTTCAGCAAAGAAATAGAAGACAGTAGATCAACAATGTTAATTATCCTGTATATACATACATACAAAATTTCTCCTTCTTTCCTTTCTCTTTTCCCACATCCCAGTTCCCTTTACCCTTGAGCATTTTCCTATCATTTCACAATGCCTATCATACCCCCGAGTTTAAATTAACTCTTTCAGGTTTTACACTAGTGAGACAATGTGGTGCTTGTACATGCAGGTCTGATTTATTTCACTTGTGAGTATGGTCTCTAGTTGTGACCATTTGCCTATAAAAGCCTTGAGTTTATAAGTTTTAGAATAAAAATGAAAGGGTAACCCTGCAGGCTAAGCAGATTCATGAGAAATAGCAACTAATTTCAATATATAGATCTTATTTTTATTCTGACTTAAAGAATTGTAAAATAAACAATTCATGTAACAGTTGGTGAATTTTGAGTAGTAATTAGATATTTAATGATAAAAGTTGACTATCTCAGGAATTTTGTTATAGTAACAGGAAGCTGACTGTCAAAGCAAGCCATGAAGTATTCTTTCTGTGAGTGTGCACAGATGCTTCAGGTGTCATGTGGATGTGTGTGACATCTTCTTGGAGACTGTGCTACCTTTATGTTTTTGCTGTCACATCACTGTCACTTGTATGTGACACTGTTTGTTGTGTAGAAGTCTGAGTCTACTTGGTAAGCTTGCACATTTCTTAGGTATTGCCACTATGTTCAGAAGATTTATTCTTGCAAGTAAACCTATAACACATGGAATATACTGAACATTGGTGTTCTATCTAAAATAAAAGCATGATAAAAACATATAATGTTATATGAATGATAGCCTTTGTTATCTCTATCTGTTGTCCAAAAAGTAGATAGAGTCTACTGTGAGGTAATGGAGTTTGGGAATATTGCTAAGAGATATGTACTTTAATATTTGACGAACTATACCCCAATGATAATCTTGCACGAACAGTACTTCAGGTAATAGTGTAGAATATGTATTTCCAGAAATAGAGACTAATACATTACTAATTTTGCATTTTCTATCCACACAGTCCAATTCGTTACTGATAACTTGGAATTGTTTCTCACTATGTTCCTTCCTTGGCTTCCTTTTGTTGGTCTCACACAGTAGACCCATGGTGACTGTGATTGGAATGGAATTAGTCTTCAAGATCCCGGAACTTACAGTAACTCATGGTAATCCTTTAAACTTCTCAAATTTGGGAAGGTAGTGGAGTGAGACCCAGACCTTACCAACGGAGAAATAATAAACCATTGTGAGAAATTTAATATTATTCTTTACTGTAATAATAAATACAAATAAAACAAAATTTTTGAAGAAATATTAAGGTTTACATCTGTCCCTTACAGTTATGAGCTTTTCTTCACCACTATAAGAAATAATGTTCTCTGGAAAGGTGTTAGATGTCACAAGAGAATCTATTGATCATTGAGGAAAATGCCTGTAAGAATATCTTTATCTTTCAAATAAATTATACTTCTCTCTATAACAGTTACCCATAATTTGGCATTTCCTCCAAATGTGAAACATGAACTAAAAGAGCAGCAAATTTAAATGAAATTTAAATTTAAGTGAAATATTGGTGAAATTTAAATAAAATGCATAGCAGATAATAAAAATATTTATGCACACATTGTCTATCTACTAGACAAGATCAATTTAAGACAAGGACACACTACAGTGGAACAGAATAGAGATCACAGAAAAAAATTCATCTTCAGCCATCTGGTTCTCAATAAAGGCATCCAAAACATACATTTGAGAAATAATAGCCTTTCAGTAAATAATTATGGAAAAACCAAGTATATGCATGGAAAACATTGAAACTAGACCCTTATCTCTCACTCTGTAAAAATCAATTAAAATGGAAGAAATAAATATGTAAATTAAGACCTCAAGTATGAAAGAAATAAAAAGAGGGAGAAATGTTCAAAACATCATTATAGGCAATGTTTTTTGAATAGGATCCCAAAAGCACAAAGCTAAGCTAGACATACGGGGTTCTATCACTAAGAAATTTTTGCATAGATAATGTAACAGGAAAGTGAAGAGACAAGCTACATAATGGGAAAGTCTTTCACCAACTACTCGTCTGTCAAAGGATTAATGTACTGATTATAGAAAAAATGAAAGAATTCAACAGAAATGATAATCTAATGAAAAAGACATTTCTCAAAAACAGGCACAGCCAGCCACAACTAGCACCTGAATGACACAGATCTAGTTCACAGGAAAACAAAATGTGCTAGTTGTATTTAGTCTCATGGCACACGTGTTGTCACTGATATCTTCCTCTTCTATCTTCTCTTTCCACATTCCCTTCTTCCTGAAACATGGTGCAGTGGCTGCTTTACATGTACTGGCTGAGGACAAAGAAAAATGGAAATTTAGAAAAAAGAATTTATCTAATCCCCAAACTTTCTAACATTGGGTGGGACATGGCAGTGCATGCCTATAATCTCAGCACTTTGGAAGGTTGAGGCAGGAAGAATGGAAGTTTAATTTTCGCCTGAATAACTCAGGGAGACCCTCTCTCAAATAATAATAATACTAAAACACTGCAAGGGGTGAAGGTGTAGCTCACTCTAAAGGCCCAGGTTTCATTCCCTTGTACCACACGCACAATCAAAAAGCTAAAAGACCACAGAAAATTCTTAAGAGATATCACAATAGAGAATGTCTCCCATTCCCCGAGTTTTTTGTTTAGTAGTAGCCTGATCTTTCTATGTATTGTAGTATCCCTCACCCTACTGTGTTTGAACTTAAGTTTTAATTACTTATATACATTAAACAATCTTTCAGTATGAGTGCAGGAATATTCATTTCTTTATGATCTATTTTGTGAATTAAGAAAAGTAAACTAAGAGAGATCGGTTTCCTCAAATTTCTAGCTGTCTGCTCCTTTGATCTCCATAATGTCGATTGCTTTTTATCCCTAGACCTGTAATTTGGCTGATTTTTACAGTCACAATGGCAAACTCTGAAGAGTTTGTTAAAGTAAAAGTGAAGATATGAACAGTTTTAACCAGGAATAAAAATGTGGGATTAGGGAGATCAGACACAAGGGATCAAATAGGACAAGGGAGATACAGAACATTGGTAATGGGTAATGTGAGGGCAGAGAGGACAGGACAGTGGGAGGGAGAGATACTTAGTTGAGTAAACAAATGATGAGTATCCTCTTAGGTAAGAGAACACTGGAAGTTGAGCAGGGGCTTAGTCTCTCTTTCTTACCTTCCATATCTGTAAGTAGAGGCTCATATAAGTGGAGGGGCTTTTCAAACCACATAGGGGCTTTTCTGAGCTCATATGAAGAAAGCTGAGCACAGGGAGAACAACTGGGAGCCAGGGAGGGAAGAGTCAGTCTGGAAGTCAGGCCCACAGGGGAAATGAAAGATGGAGTAGGAACACCAGGGGGTGGGAGGCAAATGTTTTCACTGATACAAAATTTTTATGAGGAAGAGATTGTCAGTTGGAGGAGAGAGGAAGTGACTGCTACAGCGTATGGAGCAGAAAGAGCTGCTACACTCTGAGATCAAACACAGGCTGAGAGACAGAAGTCCTTTCTCTCAGTGAAATGCTGCTCCTGGCACTGGCATTGCCTGCAGTTCTCTTCCCAGGTGGTGACACTCAGGACGGTAAGAGGAACTCTGACAGCTGCTGGCCCTGGTGCAGGGCTCTGGACAAAGGCAGGCTGAGCTTACCCAGGTGCACTGCTGCTCTGAGCCCTCCTGTGTCCAGGCCACCATTCCACCATTCTGGAGGTTGGTGCTGGAGCCACCAGAATGGCTCCAGAATGGTGGCCAGAATGGCCACCTCCACCATTCTGGAGGTTGGTGCTGGAGCCTGAGGTGCTGGTGCTCTCAATTTGGTCAAAACTTTTGGTTCTGCAGACTGTGAGTTTTTTGTTTGTCTTATATAAAAAAGCCAGGTTATAAATAAAAACAAAAGAAAAGATAGATAATAGGAAGTAATGATCATCAATATCATGATCTCAAGGTGTGCGACTGCAAATGACCATTTATGCTTCTTTATGGCAGACTTATACTCTGTTGTTTTCTCTGTCTGTTCCTCTCTTGATGGACATATAGGCTGCTTTAAAGATCAAGAAATTATGAATTGTGCTGCTGTAAACCATGGCTACCATCTTATCCTTCTTTTCTCCATAGACTTCCAGGGTCCGACCACTTTCCACGTCAACCAAATCACATCCTTTGCCAACAGCACCTGGGCACAATATCAAGGCTCAGGCTGGCTGGGTGACTTGCAGCTTCAGAGGTGGGACAGTGGCTCAGAAACTGCTGTATTCCTGAAGTCCTGGTCTAAGGGCAACCTCAGCGATGAAGTGATATCTGGGCTGGACGTGCTATTCCAAGTCTACTTCATTGGATTCATCTCAGAAGTGCAAGAACTCGCAAGTGAATTCGAAGTGGAATGTGAGTCTAGTTCTCAGACATGGGGGGCATTCCCAGTGTCTTTCTCTCTTGGTTCAGGGCAATGCTCCCTCTAATTTTCTTGCTTCTTCCCAACTTCACTTAACTGCATGCACATTTTGACTAGAGCAGCTCCCACCTGGACTCAACCCCTGAAAACATACTCCCAACTCTTACTGCTCTGCACTCTTCTCTAATAAATGAAGAGTACACTTTGTGACTTCAGCAGAAGGTTTGGGTCTTTTGAAACTTATTCATTTTCTTACTCTGGGCCTTAGTGACCTAAAGTGCAGCTTCCTTCTTTCATCCATCCCTTCAGCGTTCTCCTCCCGAAGGCCTCCTCTCTATGTGACCCTTGGGTTCCCCACGGAAAGGTATATTTGTTGCTCCATTTCATTTTCTTCAGCCTGTGCCTCTCCTGTCCTATCTTAAAACCGTATTCTTTACCATGGTCCCCTTCCCCATCAAGTGTACCTCTCCCCAGTGCTCTTCTTTCTGAAACTCTCCAAGTACTATAATTATTTTACCCCTGACTCTTGTCCTCACTCAAATCCGATATTTTGGGTCCCCTCCACATTCCTTTATGTCTTGTTTGCTGTTTAATAACATCTCTCTGTTTGCCTTCTCCACAGACCCCTTTGAGATCCAGGGCATCGCAGGCTGTGAATTGCATTCTGGGGATGCCACCCTAAGCTTCTTGAAGGGAGCTTTAGGAGGACTGGATTTCCTGACCATCACAAATCATTCATGTCTGCCTGCACCAGAGGGTGGCACCAGGGCACAGATGTTCTGCATATTCATCTCTCAGTACAAAGCTATCTGTGACATTATAGATAAGCTCCTTATAGAAATTTGCCCTCAATATCTCTTGAGCATCCTTGAAGCAGGGAAGACAGATCTACAGAAACAAGGTTAGTCCTGCTCTGTTTTACTTTGTATCACTTTAATTCCAAGAGTAGAAAGGTACCAGATGGGTTTCCACAATAACTTATTTTATTCCCAAAGACTAGAGGGGTAAATATCCAAGCTTGTGGGCTTCAGAGTTACTTGGTGTGGATTAGAGTCATAATCTGACACTTACCTAGCCTCTTCCTGCCCCAGTGAAACCGGAGGCCTGGCTGTCCCAGGGGCCCAGCCCTGGGCCTGGCTGTCTGCAGCTGGTCTGCCATGTCTCTGGCTTCCACCCAAAGCCCGTGTGGGTGATGTGGATGCGGGCTGAGCAGGAGCAGCCTGAAACTCAGAGAGGGGACATCCTGCCCAATGCTGATGACACATGGTATCTCCAAGTGACCCTGGATGTGGCAGCTGAGGAGGCTGCTGGGCTGTCTTGCCGAGTGAAGCACAGCAGTCTGGGAGGGCAGGACATCGTCCTCCACTGGGGTGAGAAAAGATGGGACTTAGGCTGGAAATGAGGGGAAAGATAGGGTAGGTCATGGGTTATGAGAGGGGAGAGAGAAGCAGAGAGAGAGAGAGAGAGAGAGAGAGAGAGAGAGAGAGAGAGGGAGAGAGAGAGGAGAGAAATTTACTCTTCATGTATAGA